TTCAAAGGCAAATATAATGCAAAATGTCAACCATTTTTTGGTGATCTGAACTATCTAACTCATTAGTCCTACTATGGATGGGCAAAAATCTCGTTTATTGAACAGATCCTAACATCTCATCATAACTAGCTAATTTCTAGAATCCTATGTTCCCAGATATTAGGTTCTATCAAACAGCAGATTGTACAATCTCGAGGGATCTAGATAGGGTATCAAACAAGGGGTCTTGATGCGAAGGACATCAAATAGCTGGCTGAACCGAATTTTATTTCATGGACGTGATTCAAATTATCTGGGCTGAGCTGAATGGACTTGTTTGGAATTGTCTAGTTTGTTGTTGTTTTTGGGATTTTGTAGTAAATGCGGGTAAATTAAGTTTTCACACAATGTTGAGGGTGTTGGAAAGTGACATGGAGTCGATATAATAAGTATGGTCCATGCTTCCCATGTAGCCAATGTAATGACGGTTCCAATGTAATCAATGGTAAATGAGTCAATGTTTAGGGTTCTAAAGTTGATAAGTTCCAAGGTGGTATATGAATCAACATATTGTGGGTTTCAAGGTCAAGGTTGGTGAGTAACAACACATGGGGCTTGCATGCATAAGGACTCGAATCCATGGCGATTTGGAGAGCTAGGGCAAGTCTAAAAGCTACTCTACGTTTGGGGGTGTATCGTATAGTCAATGTTCAAATTAGGGGTGTATGTGGAGTGTTCTATAAATATTGTTTTATTTCCTTTGCTATACATGAAAGGTGGTTGCTTGATTGATGAGATGAAATTATCTTTTCCTACTTGTTGTAGTTGAGATTTGCTAAAACGTGCATGTTGGAATATCTCTATTTGGTATAATGGTGCAACCTACTTGGTGTAGCGGCACAATTAGAGCTAGAAAGACCTTTGTTTTTCCCTTCTTGACAGTGAACAATAAAGTCTTTTCCTTGTTTTGCTGACTAGCGCGATGGATTGGTTGTTGTTGCTAAATTGGCCTTCAATCTTCTTGTTTTGTGTTCTCGATGTTGTAGTGAGTAATTAGACCTATTGCTCTGGATCCCCTATTTGTTTACAAGGAAGATAAGAATCAAAAGGAGCAAACTACCTAATCATCATTCTCAGGCTAATCATAGAACACAGAAGTTGTGGTATCTTATGGATGTAACATAGGTCACATACCTCAGGATATAAGATTGCAAAACCCGAAATTTCCTCTCTAGAGTAGAAATGGACATGGCCAAAACTTTTAAGAAATGATAGGCGGAGTTCTCAATATTCAGATGGACAATATTCTAGTTCATGGGCTCTTTCCATCGTATAAGTTTTTCTGTGGATATAAATAAAGATAGGGTCTAGATCTCGTTTACCTTGGAATGAAATGTAAGGTAGATGTTTCTGTCGGAGAGGAGAGCATGCTCCATGCATAAGATTGTCGTCCTAGTGTCAAATCGGGAACATGGATTGGGATTATTCGAGACCAATTAAACACAACCCATTGATCATGTTGGTCGATTGATCAAGGAGTAATTTTTCTTTTTCATTGTCAAGAAAGGAAAGGAATAAGGGTCTTTTCGGCCCTAACCGAGTCACTACACCAAATAGGGCTGCACCACTATACCAAGTAGAGATCTTCCAACACATGTTGGGCAAATGTAAAGTACACCAAGTAAGAGAAAAATAATTTCATCTCGTTAATCAATCAACACCCTTTCATGCAAAACAAAAAAGAAGTATTTGTATAACATTCCGTGCACAACCTAATTTGAACAATGACTAAGATGATTCAAGAAAACCTTCATCCCCCCCAAAAAAGTAGACGAACTTCTAGACTGCTCATTCTCTCTGAGTCCTCATGCATGCAAGTCGCCATGAGTCCAAGCCTCCCTATGTTGCTACTCACCAACGTCCACCTTAAGACCCACAAGATGTTGACTCTAAGGTTGTCAAAATGTTGACTCTAAGGTTGTCCTCATCGATCATTTACTAATTAGAACCTTAACTACATTGACTAGATGGGAAACATGGGCTACACTTGCTACATGGATTCCAAGCCATTCTTTACTCTTAACATTATTTTAAAACCCAATTACCCCAATTAGGTACATATCTTGAAAACACCCAATAAACAAGATAATTTCAAGCAAGTCCATACAACTTTGTCAGTTAATGCCAATTGTTGAGGTTTTGTGGCTATTAAAGACCTTATGAGAGCATGTACTAAAAACATTATAGTAAAATGTTCGCTCCAGTGGGAATATGGTCGACTTTGGACAATGAGGCACTGCTAGTGCCAAGACTCATTTGAGCTTTGACTGGCTATGGCTCATAGGTGATGTTCAAAACCCATAGTCTTGGGCATTGTGTAAGCACAACTGATGATAGTTTCGATGGAGGGTTATCCCTTAATGAAGTCGGAGTTGTGCCGAGAATAGTTTGGTCAGGGGACTCCATGAGACCCCTGTATGTGATGGATGGCTGAAGAGGATAAGGGTCATAATCCTCATCATTACCGTCACACAACATGTACACTAGATAGTCGTCTGGGAAGTGGCAGTTTTGGATAAAGTTGTACGACTTGTACATGTTCGGAAGAGATGACTCCCCACAATACTGGACTGTGTTGGAAGGATCCTTAAAACATAGTGTTCAAATGGGGTCTAGAGTTGTCCTCAGGGAGGGACCTGTAATCCATGGATTATAATCGTGTCTCCTTCACTTATTGAATGACTTTGATAGTTCAATCATGAACCCCTGCGAAGGGCTGTGGGTCATAGAAACTATTGAGTCAGTTTGAGGAGGTGCAGTGAGATACGGTCTCTAGAAAGGATGGAGTCCTCAGTATATTTGTTATAATCATAATTCTATAGATCTTATTCCCATCAAATATCTTTGAATATATTTTTATATGTTTTAATTATTTTTAGATAATTAAAAATTATTTTTTGGACCTCTCTAGATATTTTATTTTATTAAAAAATGATTTTTAATGAGAGAATAAAAAATTGAATTTATTTTAATCAGAGATAAAATAAATTATTTAATGACAATATAAAATTTATTTGATCTTTTGAAAATTAAATTTTTATATATTGGGGTCCCATTGGATTTATTGGCCCCACCGATTAGTGTGGCGTGGGGCCCACATGGCCACCCATGAGGTGGGGTGTCCCACCTCTTATTCTTTCCTAAATTGGTTGGTTCTAATTAAGCCACATGGTGACTTGAGAATTTTAGGAAAGTGTGATGTAGAGATTTTAATTGATTTCAAAAGGGGAAAGTATAAGATTTAATTGATTTTGATTTTGTACTTTCTTTATTTTATATTTTGATGGGAACAGAGTTATGGAACTGATGGAAAATGGTTCCACCTTATTCCTTTAGTCATGATGGTTGATCTAAAGAATAAATGGATGAGATCTTTTCACCCCACAGGTCTCCAAGATCAAAGTTTAATATTAAATTTACAAAGATGAAAAATCCCTAACCCTAGAAACCCTAGCCTTTATTTAATAAAAACTAGCTATGGGGGCTCATTCTAAAGACACTTGATCTCTCGCTCTCTCTAAGCCAAACAGGTGGCACACCCCTCTCTAATCTCTCTCTAAATTAGGGTTTAGGAAGCACAAAGAAACCCTAAGGGGTGGCACGCCCAAGCCACAACACCCTAGCCTTCTAGTTTTGGCCTTATGCTCATGTGTTGGAATTTGGTCTAGATTATCCTATGAATGTCATGTTCTTAGCGAGTTTTGCCTTGGCTTCCCAAATTGTGAGACAAGTTCTTGAACCTAGATCTGTGCCATTGGTGGAGGAGACTTGGTGTGGGGTATGTTAAGTCCTTAGGAGTAACTTGAGGCAAGGTATACGGTAATTTTTTGGTTTATGCTCTTTTGATTTAATTGCACCATTTATTTAATTTTCAGATCTATGTTGTGAATGTAATTTTATTTTAATAGCAAGCGAGTGTTTTTGGTGTTTTATTTGTTTCACATATTGTATTTGGATACTTGTGAGTGATTCGGGTGGCAATACAAAAGAAAAGATAGAAAAATTTTAATTGGTATTGACTTGCCCGGTCACATAGTCCACCTTTTACCAATCACGCCCATGAAATAAAATTTGGTTCAGCCGGCTCTTGGAGGAGATTTGCATCATATTTGCAAGTTCAGCTCTCCAGAAGCCCAAGTCCTTAGACCCGGGTTTTTCCAATCCTAGTGTTTTTCTAGATCCCCATTGTCAAACGTGCGCATAAGTCTTTGTCCTCTAGAAAGAACCTTTCAATTGAATCTGTAAATACTTTCCTGTTTTCAGGCTATTGGCCCTATCTGTAGGTAATCTTCTAAATGCCTCCATGTCAAATCTGTCCTGGAATCTAGTTTCTTTCCAGTACAAGCCCCTAAAGAAAGAATCCATTGCCCCCGTGATCCCATGTTCATCAAAGTGTCTTTCTCCTTCCCCATTCCTAGATATGGTGTTTTTCCTCCTGGAGACAATTAGCATACATGTAAAAGTATTTAGTATTTCAATTCTCCTTTTGAAGTCACAGACTTGAAGATTTCTTCCACCGACTATTTTCTTCTCGTATCTACATTACCTCGATGAACTCTCTCAGATTCCCTTTTGTTGTCTTGTTCATTAGATTTCTCTGGAGCTGTGATCTCAGTAAGCGATGATCTTTTCCTTTGCTCTACATGCCCAAAACTTCTTATCTGGTTGGTTATTTGAAGAAGTAAAAGAAGGACCTCTTAAAGCCTCTTATGGTTTGTATCTTTTGTTTTTTGCATGAACTATCAAATGTTGGTCAATCATGATGCGTAATGGAATGAACATTTTTGGTTGAATATTTTTTTATTGGATTTTTGTTTCTGACAGATCTAATATGCCTCAACTTTTGATATTCATGTTGGAAAGAATTTATGTGCTATCTACCTCTTTTTGATTAGTTGAGAGCAATTGTTTGATGAATGAAAAGTTTCTTCTTGATCTCATTTAGACATGCATGTAACCAGGTCATTCATAGAAAATTCCCATGCTGGCATCAAGATTTCTCCTCAAGATCATGGCTATGTCGGAATGAGTGATAGGCTTGTGACAATCACAGGTTCCCTTGAGGAGCAGTTGCAGGCTGTCTCCTTGATTATTTCCAAGTTAATAGAAGATCCGCATTACTCACAATGGGCAAATTCTCCTCTTTCATATACAGGTGCGGACTCCTCTAAAGTTACCTTCCATCAGTATGGAGGCTTTTTCGACCTTGGATATATTGCTCATTAATGTGTAGTTTTGATTCATATTATATGATCCTTGTTTTGTGGGGCATGTATCCACGTACTCGTGAGCCCGTACTGGGTTTTGTCTCTGATTTAACTCGTAGATCTCAATTATTTTCTTGTGCAAGATAGATTCCAAGATGTAGCTTGTTGCCATTACAACAGTGCACGATTTTTAGCCTGTTGAAGAATAAAGCTTGGGGATTCATTACCGTTTCCTGAAATTGAACATTTTCTTCTTGAATGGATCTTAGCAAAATTTCTTGAATCAATGCTGTATGCTGAATTTGTTAGATGCTTTAATATATATTTCATACAAAAAATTTGACACGTGCAAGAGATTGACTTTAAGAACAATGTCCTAGACAGAAAACCAGGTCCAAGTTTGTCATAGTATGTAGACCAACCTAGATGATCTTTAGTCGAGCATATGCTAGGCTGTAATAAGTTAATGAAGTTTCAAATATTCAAGCCAAAAAGGGGTGCATCAGAGAATTTAGTCGTCAGGTACTTCAGTTTCTATTTGTGTATTGGCCAACAAAGGGTGCATCAGAGAATTTAGCTGCCAGGTACTTCAGTTTCCACTTGTGTATTGGCCAAGCAAAGGAGTCACTGAGAATCTGTCCTTTGGTGGCCTGAAAAGAAGAATGACACCATTACTCTCATGATGGATATCCTAGTAAATCCATGATTCTACTTAAAATTTTCCTGTTTTGAGTACTCATCAACGACTTCAAGAAACTTGAGAAGGCTTTAAAGAAACTTCCTATGAAACAAATGAATACAGGAATCTCAGTTATACCATTGGTTTGAGAGCTACAAATCTGAAATCAATGATGAGATTTCTGTTTAATGCTGGTAAGTGGCTCCTTCTCCATTAGTGCATGTGGAGGTATTTAAATAGATGGCAATATGTGGAACGAGTTTTATAGGCAAAGTACGTCATAGGTGTAATTGACATTATAGAGAATAGTTAGAGGTTTTTTGGCTTATGCTTTAGTATATGAAATAGAATCAAAGCTTGGGACCTAGAATTTGAAAGTGAAGTTGGAAAATGGTATGAGAAGGAGATTATGGAGAGCTGCTTCTTAAGGGGCCAAATAAGGTGGAAAAGGGTTAAGGTGATGTAATGTTACTTGTAGAATAATGATTGGTCTATTGGATTTTTCCATTATGTGCGAACTTATGGGGTCAATATGGGAGAACTAATTGAAGTTCTTGTTGTGGTTTCTATGGTCTACATGAGCCAGCAAGATAGGTCGAATGGAGTGGCATTGTCTCATTAGTCTTTGAAATTCTATTAAGTCTGTGTATTATAAGATGGTGGGCATTAGTAATCCTTATTTCGCTGGTCTGTTGGGTCTGGAAGAAAATATTCCTCTTTAAGATTTCAGCGTACTTTTGGATGTTTCAAATGACAGTTAAAGTGTAGGCTTTCAATATCTTAGCATCCTTTGCACATATGCAAGAGAAAAAATGGAATATACAGAAAGCAAAAAACAGAAAGAAATGAAACATTGACCACTCCCCCCTCAATGCCGTTTCACCTTAAAAGATTGGGGACATCTTAGGCTTGTGCAAATTTGTTTTTGAAGAATGTCAGCACATGTCATTTCTTTTTTACCTCCACACTATGTTTGTTAGTACCTCTATTCTGTAATTAATCAGGACTCACCTATGTCAACTCAGCTCATGTAGGTGCACATGTCTAAAGCTACTCAACTTGTCATGCACATGCAGTTCTGGAAAAACTTGCTGACTTATTTAGAACTTCGCCTAGTCCTGACTCCTATCCGGATCCTATTGAAAACAGCAAATATTCTCTATATCATCTGAGTTTTGTCTATCAAGACTCGGTGAGTCACCTCGTGACTTACTGAGTTTACTGATTTGCCTGGACTCAAGGCTTAATCAAGTCCAGAGCCAAGCCTGAGTCATAAACATTGGATGTTATAGAGTGGAAGGTGGCTTTTTGGAACATCATGGGTCTGCGTTTTGTTGGGCTATTTTCCATGCTAGTGTTTGAAAATGTGCCTACTCGGGCTCTGACTCACCCGAGTTGCCCAGAACCTGTAGGGTGCCAGGTCCTGTTGAAAACTTTGGGAACTGGTTGAGTCTCACCAGTTACTGAGGTTAGCATCTTATTTGGCTGAGCCCTTTTTGGACTCGGCCAAGCAGATCCCGCTGCCTTAAGCTCAGGCCCTACCCGGTTCTGAGTCTTAGTGATGTTCTCAATCATAGTTCTTTGTCATTTTCAAGAGAACATACATGGAAAACACCAGGAAAATTAAGGGGGAGAACAGTGCAATCTGCCTGAGGTCATGGAGAGTAGACCAGAGGAGTGGTGAGTGGTCATTAGCTGGGTGACTGTTCATAGATTGCCCCTCATGGAAGGTTGAAATCTTCGGTCATGGCCAAAGGGTGGATATAGGCTGTCAAAAGATTTGAAGAAATTAAAGAAACAAGAGAAAAACAAAAACAATAGAATAATTGTTATTCATTTGTTTGTTTCTTTGTTGATTTATATTTAAATAGTGAGGTCTTTAGCTGCTTCTCAAGTCTCTTGGTTTTAACTAGTCTGAAGAGCTATTATTAGTCATGGGCAAAGAGGCACTACCGGATTTTTACTTTCTACTGTGTCAAAGGGAGAGATTCATAACTATGAGTTGGATTTAGAAAGATTGAATGGTCCCTTGGGGACTTCATTAATCTTGGCTTTTAGATTCAAAATATATATGTCATTCTCGTGTAAATATAGACTACCTTTTTAGGTGATATTGGCAAGCATGGGAGCTAAGGGGATGTGGTTACTGTATTGGGATTCTACCAAACATAGTTTATTCATCCTTACAGGGCCTTACTTTTTGGCTTTTCATTGATTAAATATAATTTGATAGAATTGGAAGGTTCCTTCTGCACCCCCACCCCCCTACAAAAGATTTTTCATCTGTTTTTTGGAAAGCTCTTTATCCAGTTGATGGCCCCATTTATTATTCAATGGGGGCTTGCTACAAAATTTCTACAGTCTAGTGGTTGCTGTTACCCTTTAGACGTGAAAGTAAAGAACAAGAATTTGTTCCTTGCTCTGATGATCTACATTTGTGTTTTATTTGGTGAATATTGGAGCTTCACTGTTTACAGTTTGTTGGGGATCTGCAGGTGTTAACTTTTCTGGTCTTCATGGTGTACCGGTTGGTTATGTGCTTCCTCCTGTTGGACCTGTTGCTTACAATCTGATCAATTATGGATCAAATGGTGTTGGAGGAAAATATAAAAATAACAAGGTACTTCTTTTTCATTTTTATGGTTTTTATGACATGGTCTAGTTTCGACTCTTGGTAAATTTTGATTGTTTTGTTGTGTGCCTGTCCCTAAACTTTGATTTCATAATGTGTCTTCTATATGGCAATACTAAAACACTCAGTTTTCAATGAAGAATGCTTTTTCGGTGATTTGTATACTTTTTAAAGATCAGTTTCTTTCCTCCCTCATTTTGTCGAAGCTCAGGGTTAATTTGTAGGAGCTCAGTGTACTTGCATAATTTTCTTAACATTTGTGGTGGAACTCTAAACTTTTTTGCTTGCATTTTTCAGTTTCCGCTATAGCTTGATGCTATTGCAAAACATTAAATGTTTCAGGTTTCCTTATATGGGGACCACATGGCATAGGGCTAATGTTTGTTTTCTCAATCCTTAAAATGTTTGACTACATGCAGTTCATCTTTGGTCCTCAAAAGTGATCGCATATTCCCTTTACATGTACCACTTTGGTGTTGGATCGAAATCTACTGCTTGGTTTCCTTAACATTAAATGACCTGGTTGCCAAGATTTAGAAGAATCCACTATTTTCTTTCTCAATTTTGAAAGCATATTGGGTATTTTACTCGAATTTCCCGTTAGGATTTTGTGTTAAATGACAAAAACATGGTGAAAGAGAATTCTTGAAGTCTTATCACATTTAGTACTCTAGCAGATGGACATGTTTTGGTTTGTCTCATAGTTGTTGGAAGAAGGAGCGTTTTAAGAATCAAAAGTGGCGAATTACGAGAGGCTAGAAGCTTCCTATGGTAGGAAGCATCGTCAGTACAATGCATATCTCAGGAATCGAGATTCCTTCTTTTGAGAATCGTACTCCCTACCACTTGTAATTGCTCAAGTAATTATCAAGGAACGAGTTCCATAAGGCAAAAGGTTTGTTGCTCTAAAGTATCCTTACCAAGAATCCCTTTGTACTAGAATCAATGTATTGAGTAGTCAGTACGCTTAGCCCGGCTTCTCTAGTATTAGAACCGAGGTCCTTGACTTTCTAAACAAAGGTTCCTGTGGCATTGGAATCGATGTATTGAGTGCCCTTAATCACAGTTCCCCATCGTATTGGAATCAAGGTCATTGAGTGGCCTTAACTAGAGTTTCCTAGGTACTGCAATTGTGGTTTACTGGAGATTCTAGATTAAATAAAGAAAGTAAAATTATTCGATTTATTAATAATGATTTTAAAAAAAATATTAAATAAAGAATGATTGTAAAAATATTATGGAATGCTTTTCAAACATTATGTTCTTGAAAATTTAAGGTTTCCTGACATTCTTTGGCTTTAGCTTTTGTACATGATGTTTGGGAGCTTGTCACAGTTAGCTGTATTATATAGTGGGTTGGCTCTTGCTCCTTACCACGATATATAATGATCACCAAAGGTGTGATCCTTGGATGATTATGATGTGTCAATACTTGGATGATAAGCTGTGAACCTTGGATGATTATGATGAACCTTGGATGATTATGATGTGTCAATACTTGGATGATGATAAAGTGTTTATTTAAGTTATCCATCACAAAACTGAAGTGTTTGTTCGAGTTTTGTTGTGTATGTGTGCACCGGAACACATGCGTACCTTACTTTTTTCTCTGTTTATTTGAAAGGAAGTTAAAAAATATTTTGGTCAGTTCGTGGTGGAAACTACTTCTACTCTTATATTTGGAGATTTATTTCTCAAATTAATAATCCTAATTGTCTATTTAGATGCAGGAATATTGTACATGCTGTGATTCTTTTCCTTTGGAATCATACTTCGCAAGGTTAAGGACTAACATGCTACAATCATGTTACTATTTGGAGCTGTATACATGTCAGAATAATATATTCAACTTACAGAAAATTATAATTTCGGAAATATGAAGGTTGCTTCTCAATTGATGGGATCGATGGCAATATCTTTTTGATTTATATTCCAGACTTAATAAGACTAGCTGGATTGGATTTGAAACATCTTAATGCTATGTAACCTGCAAGGCATGGATTTTTAATATTGGTCTTTTGCCATTTTAGACATTTTTTGAAACTGATATTTTAGCCAAAATTGAGAACCCTAAACCAGGAATAATTTGTAATGACTTTAATTATATACCTACTCTCTAGTCTGTAAGCACAGTTTCTTTCTGTGATATGTTAATTTCAAGTTATAAACTATCTAACAAATGGGGAATGTATTCATTCTGAAGATTAAAGGCATATTCCAATGGAGCCCATCTTTGAATGTTTCCTCTCTCTTTGTACGCCCTTGCTCTAAAGGGGATCGTGGGGAATGAAACTTGACCAAATTACTGATCAACTCTATTATGATGCATGTAAGCAGTTTGGCACATTCTTGCTTGAGGTGATTTACATCTTCCTGACGTTGCAACTGAAAAAAGAAAAAGGCCCCCCTTTTTTTCTCTAATTAAAGTGTCACAATGTAAGTACATATATGGGTATTTACCAAATTAATTTAATCTTTTGGAACTGTTTTCCTTATGAAGCTGCTTTTTAAATTTTTTCTGTTTAGTCTCTTGACTATGCAATTTTGTTAGTTTAGGTTTTTATTGTGAAGTAATTATTATGATATATGTTATAAAACTCAAACTACATGTGATTCCCTTGAGTCCCTTGTTAAATTTGATTTGAAGATATTTAGCATGGCGTTTCTCCTAAGCCACTTGATCTGCCAAGGATGATTTTTGGGAAGCCATTGGTTGTTCCTTCCATATTACGAAATGACTTGTTTATTCCATATTCTTTGGTATCAAAAAGTACAAAGATGCCTGCCAAATGGCTATTTATGATGTAGTGTTGCCCCTATCAAGGTCTCCTCACCTATAGGCTCTAGCATCACTATAATTCTCCTGGGAGTTTTTACCCCTCCAGAGTTTAAAAGACTTTCCTTGTTAATGACCATGCTTGTATTAATTTTCCTCTTAATATAGGTACCCATTTTGGAAAAAAAGAAGTTCAAGTTCAACTACATTTCATGGTTCCCATATGGCATCACAGGCAGTCTTCATGTTCCTATTACCTACTTTTCTTTTAATAGAGTATAATGGTTTTCTTTGTGCCCCTTTGAGAACCATATTTTTAGATGAGATATGAGCTTGAGAAGTTTATTCATCATCATCATCATCATCATCATCGTCAAAACCTTTTCCCAACCGGTACAACGCGCCGCTTTTGGGAAACGCCCTAGCATAAGCAGATATTGTAGGTTTAGGATTTATGATATGTTTTGGCAAACGTTTACGTTGGCTGCCTACCTAGCACAACCCAGCCCTTTACCCGGCATAGGATAGGTTAAGGGAAAGTTTAAGGGTCTCACCCTTCTTAGACAATCAAGAAGTTTATTCATATTGTGACTATTTGTTGGACCAGAAGTAATTTCAAAGCAGCATATTAAAATATAAAATTGGGCATGAACTTTTTCTTGATGATAAGCTCCAGCATGCAAGGAGGCCTATAGTTGTGAAAGATGTGAACATTGAGTTAAAAATAAAATGGAAGCTTCAACACAAACATTGTTAGACTAGGTTATTCATGGAGTACTTTGGTATTTGGGTTTGATAGCTATGAAATATTCTGTTAAAATTTATACATAATCACCTTATTAAAGATATTGCAAGGTCCTTGAAAGATGTGATAACCAAGTGATTATGTAAAAAGTACTAAAACAACAAATCAAATATTTGGGAATGCATTTCCGAGGTAGGTGATGAAATAAATATTGTAGGGAGAAATTTTTTAAATTAGTTGAGGCGTTTGATAGAAAAACGTCTGTTCTATTTAAATAATTCTAAAAATTTAAAAAACTATCAAAACAAAATGTTGAAGGGTTTGGAATATCTTAAATAACTATAAAACAATGGTATCAAGTGGGTTATGTGGAAAGTTTTTTAATTGTAAGATGATTTTTGCCCTCACCCAAATTATCTTTAAAGGCCTTGATGAGGATTATTTTGTGCTTTCAAAGAAGTCAAACATGTGATTATATATATACATAAAAAAAAATTAAGTCAAAGGAATAGATTTAGTTTATAAGTCAAAAGAATAAATTTATTTCAGAGCCTATAGGTTCAATCCTCTTTCTGGTATCAGAGTCCATAGGTTTAATCCTATAGTTCCCTCTTTCTTTCTCTGTTCTCTCTTGCAACAAAGTGTGGTGGGAAAAGATTTGCCCTATCAAAAATGGCTTGTGCATTTTTTTATGATAACATCTCTTACCCAGAAAAACCAACAACTGATTTTGAAGATAGACCTTTACTTGAAATCAAGTTTTTACACCATTGGAATAAATATTCCCCTTTAAGAGAAAGTGATTTAATTATTCCATAGATGGTGCATGATCTTTCTAGTCATTCACCCAAAGAAAATGGCAGAAAGAAAAGAATTGGTATGTACTGAAGCTTCTCCCATAGCTATAATTGAATTTTGGGGTGTATTATAGTGATGATGGAGGACTATTTTATGCTCTTTTAGAACTATATTTAGCCCCAAAACAAATTTTGCCTACCTAGTATTTGCCTACGTACTTACTTACAAAATTCTGTAAGTTCTCTATCCAGTGATGAATCTAATGATTGACTAGTCGTTTTTAGTGAAGAGTCTCATATTGAAAAAAATCAAACAAAGTTTTCAAAGTGATTACAAGGGGAACTTTAGGAAAGTGTTCGAAAAACCATTCAAAGAGGATGCGATTAAAACGAAAATATGTATTAAATTCGAAAAATGGAGCATTCTCAAAATCTTTTACTAGGGTGCAAGAGATGGAGCTGAAGATTGGAAAAAAGATAGAGTTATTTCTGGAAACTAGCGCTAATATAAATTTTTGCACCAAAGAACTATGGAAAAACTGGGTAAAATGCGCACAAGGATAAGAAGTTGATATCATGAATGGTGGAATAAAATTATCAGAATTTGCCATCAATGTTCCTGTTAAAATTGGAGACAAAGTGATTTTGGTAAAGTTTGTTAATATTGAGG